TGATGACGTGATGTTCGCCAGCAGCAACGGGGACAGTTGTTTTTTGGAGTCCAAGAGGGTCATCGACAGCGAAGAAATGAAGCAGGTTAAAAGCAGGTCAAAACCAGCTGCGATGCCCTAATTTTTGCCGGCTTCCATTTCGATGACGGCTTTCGATACGCATCGAAAGGAGTTGCGGTCGAAAGTCATGAGTCTTCTCATTGACACTATTGTCGTCGAATCGGTTTCGCGTCAAACGCACGACGTTAATTGCACGAAAACGACCAGACCCCATAAAATCTGGCTTGCAGCCTCAACGGCTCATTCGGTAAAGCGGCCTAACCGAATCCGTACCGACCAGGGGGGGGGCTTATTCACACGTTTGCCGCATCGTCACCTCGTCACTCACCACCCACAGTCAGCCAGCAGTCACTGTCACCGTCACCGTCACTGTCACCGTGGTGTACGCAAGCACAGAAAACCGTCGACGAGACATGTTCTTCGACTTACCCGCATCATCCTCTTCACTATCGACATGTACTTGTCCTTGGACTTCGACGGCGGCACCGGAGGGGTGGTCGGTTGGGCGGCGACGGCACCGTTCTTTTCAGCAGCGTTGTTCGTCGCGGTGTGTCTGGATGCTGTCGTCGTACGGTTTGCGGTCGCTTTCACGTCTGGACTCATACTTGGTGTTCACTGTCGTCGCTGGCGTGTACCATTCACAACACAGCCGTCGTCACAGGCTTAAACGAGGCGCTTAATTACTGCACAAAGGTCATCTGAACATCTGATCGTCGAACGATGACGAATAACGCAACGGACGCACGAGCATCGCGCCGCGGCGCGCCACGTTCTGAATGTCCCGCAGCGTCACCTATATACGCACGGTGATCGGTCGTACGGTACCTGACGTACGAAACCACTGCGGCCGGCTCCAGACCAGATTACGGCTATTAGACTTACCTCGTTACCTCGTGCGGTACTAATTAATGCTAATTAATGCACCACCGCCTGTGAAAACCGTGCTTAGCCGTCAGCTCAGAACTTACTATCACCAAAAGCCTGGCCAGCAGAACCGAATGGCACCCATAAGTTGCCGGGCGGCGTCGTCAACCCGTGCCACGCTTCGAGACGTCATACCGGCAAAGTATTCGAAACTTTTCAATCGTTAGAAAATCGGCCGACCAACCGGCCGTCCGACCGGGCATAAATCCGTTCGAAACTGGTGCCGTCGTCAAACGAGAATTTTCATCGTTCGCGTTCTTCATCGGCATCGCCCCGGGCTGTACATTTTCGTTGTCGACCGACCGCTCGCGCTGTACTACATCGCCGACGCTTCCCTTTGTCGCTACCATGAAGTTTGTTCGTGCATTGCCATCAGCACCCTTTAATCTATTTACCGTATCATATCATGTTTATTAAACTCGCTTCGGGTTATTCGTTAATAGCGAGCCTATCCTCTGCCCGATTCACCTTCCGAAACTGGCGACAGACTTATTGACTGGAAATGTTCCAAACTTAAAGTATATTAACCCAAATTCCACCGTCTTCATGGTTCGATTAATAGTGACCCAAATAAGACTATCATCACTACCAATTCTTAGCTTCTGAACACGCATCATGGTAGCCACTTCTTTTAATTAATAACTTTCTACTTCTGGATTTATCGTTCATAGACAGCACTTTAGATTCCTACCAATCCGGTCGCTGTTTAAAAGGTCTGTTATATAGCTTATGAACAGTAAATTGTAAAGTAGTAGTTCATTATTTAGAAACGAAACATCAAAGCAGAATAATCCTTCTAATTTATAGCGATCACCTATGAACATTCACAAATAATCGTTCATAAGGAGAATTTTAATCATATGGACATTTTTCAAAAGCCCATTGTAGTTTTAGTGTCCATAAGGCAAGCTGCGTCACAGTTTGCCCAAGTTTTCTTTGGGAACATTCACATGGCAGCGCTGCTTTCATCTGAGCTTCGTGCCAAGGTATCCCTTGTCATATCTGTGCTCATCTGTTTTGCAAATATCAAGAATTCTGTTGATCTCCTCTTACCACTGCCTTGTTAGTCATCAGCTTCATAGTTCGCCGCAGATCATCACTGTTGACACTTCTATCTCATACGGTTAAAATTTTCTAGTGAGAAATTGAACATTGATTCACTGCCAATTCTTCCAGACACGTGATCTGTAGCCTGTTCGCTATCCACCCGAATACAACGTATATGTTTTCATGCACCAATGTCCTCATTCAATTAGTTACTATTGATTTCACCACGGATTGACTGCCAGGAAAACGGATAAATAAATTAATAGAGCTTCTCACTTTTTCTCAACGCAAATGGTTTTAAGCATGAAATAAAGTTATAAATTAATAAGGCTCCGGCTTCTTATAACTAGCAAATCCATGCACGGTATAAATGTTATTATTGCTGCCAATTCCCTTGTCCATGTAATACAACACCTACGTGCCTGGATGTACCCAGCATACAAACTGGCAGCAAAACTATTACCAACAAACAATGGCGACGACATGGTGTTCTGGTTTTGCCTTACCGCAGAGTGCGATGCTATTCGATGCGTACACCTTAAAGTTGAAATTTAAATTGACCCACCCGGCAGGTGGCCAAAAATCAGCGCAAGGCGGATGCCATAATTCAATTTAAATAACATTATGCAAAAAATGCTAGAACGATTTATCATTATCCATGTAGATGTATATTGAGAATAACGAGAAAAAGTTTGGAACATGAATTAATTATTATGAGCGCAAAGAGGAGTCTCAAATGTCATTACGTGATGACGAATTTGACATGGCAATAGGCATGGCACCTTGCGAGAAGACCCGGCCATTGCTGGAGCAAAGAAATATTAATAGGCGGGTTCTCAGCGACAGTAACAGTTCTTAGGAAAATCTTCTGATTGACGGCAGAATAGGGTGAAGAAATTCGCCTGATCAAAATGGATAAGAACTACAAGAAACAAATGACTATTTCAAAGTCTTACAGAAGCCTTCATTTAGCATTGGACCGGAAAGGGCTGAAAATTATGATTATCTCAATATCTTAATAAACAAATAAATCGCAGGTGATCTGAAAAGTAGGAGAGCCCTATCCACGTCACTGAAGCTCGTTCACACCTTATAAGCAGGTTGTCTGTATCACAGCATAATGCAATCCATAAAGAAGGGTGTTTTTGAACGATTTTCGACTTTGCCTCATATAGTTAACCGGTTTTGGATTTCTGGATGCACACATCACTTCTGAAGACTTCATCGTTGTTGTCTGAAAAAAGCCTAACTACATCAGTGAAATATTTTAAAACGCTTCTTCTGTTTGCCTCGCTTCGTTATCATCTTCATTTTATAGCCGTACAGCGGCGCTCTTATGGTTCGATT